TTGGTTTATGTGATTGTGGATTGAATATAAAATCACTATATTATTGTAGATAATTTTATGAAAAAGGTAATTTTTGTGATCTCTGTTTAACTTTTAATTCATATATTCTCTAAGTGAGCTTAACATAAAAATAAATTTGAAATCTAGAGGTTTTTGTTGCTTTCAGTTGTCATTGCAAGTGTTGAACGAACACTTACTGTGATGAACAAAGTGAAAAAACACTTCAAAATAAGATAAGTTGCGGAATCATGAATGATTTTTAGCTGTGGTATATTAACATTTTTCATAATTTGCATAATGATTGTACTTTGTAAAATTTTCAGAAGATGAACACATTCTAAAACTTAGGTTATATATTTATTTTTTCATATTTGAACTACCTTAGATGAGTTGTGGCTACGCCACTGCACACCGAGGTTTCATCAAGAGGTCCATCTAGGAAGGCGATCTTGTGGCAAGGGTTTGATTGCCTTATCCACCACAAGATCCTATTCAATCATCTAACCCTAATTTGTCAGATGACGCATACCCGTCTAACCATAAAACTCCATACCCAGTGTAGAAGCTCAAGTAGGCTAGTAGAGAAGATTAGGGTGGCTTACCCAAGCACAATTAAAGCTAGATGAAGCAATAAAATCAACTAGACAAACATATTCATTCAAAATCCATACATACACAACCTATAAACTAGGGTTCATCTGCCCTAAAGACCCATTAGAGATTAAGTCATAGAGAGAGAGAGAGAGAGAAAGAAAACACAAACTAGAAGAGAGGGAGTGATGAAATCAATCTTTTTCTCCTTGTTTGCACCTTCTTCTTGCTCCTTGGGTGGATTGAATTTTCAATGAAGCTCTCCCAAGGTATTCCCCTCTCTAAAATACTCCAAAACCCTAACTTTCTCACTCTAGGTCAGCTCTCCTTTGTCAAGTGTAGAAAAAGGAGTATTTATAGGCTGATGGCGGTGGTCACGACCTCAAGGGCCTGACCCGATGGTCACGATCGTGACCTGCTGGATTGTTGCCAACTCGCCCAAAATGTCGTGTTTTGACACCGTCTTTAAGCTCCAAGATCGTGACCTCCTTCATAAGATCGCGGTCGTGATCTTTGTGTCACGAGCGTGATTCTTTTTGTTGTCAAAACGCACCATGTCCGTGATTCGGGTGTCGAAACTTTATGCCTTCTTCTCGGTCATCTGCCGAGGTTCGCGACCACTGTTCACGGCCGTGATCTTCAGGCACATGATCACTACCTAGTGGTCATGGTCGTGATGTGTGGCCGTGACCTGTGCCTTTTCTCCCCTTTTTGCTCTTATGCTTCCCAATCATGCTCAGATGAAGTCCAATTGATCCTCAATCAAATCCCAAATGCATATAAGACTTGGTATTTCATCACAAACACTGGAAAAGTATAAAATATGATAAAGTGGGGTCGGTTCTGCTATGAAAACCTTCATATCAAGAATACCTATGCAAAAATACATGTGTTTGCAAATATGAACGAAAATAGGCATGAATAACTTGATATGTGTCCTAGACACAATGATTTAACATGCAAATTCCTCAAGAATAAGAGCTAAATAACACCTATTTTAGGTGTTATCAAGCTTTATTTTAGGATGAACCCAAAAGAGAGGAACAGTTGACTCTTGAGTGGTTATGCAAAATATGGAGTATATAATATAATAGATATATGACTAATTGATTATTTAGTTTGATTGGTTACGAGTGTCTGAAACCAAACCATCTAAATCACACAAGCTAAAAAATTTAACAAACCAAATCAAATTTTTCGAATACTACCGACGGTAACACTCCGTTTAAACACCCTAGTTGGGTCTTTAATTAAGTTAGATTTGGCTATTTTTATTAATTTTTCGATGACTGATGCGACAAGGTTGACAGAATTTTAGATAAAAATGGATGGAAATGACCATAATGTTACGAGTTGGAATCTATATAGCTGAATCGTGCAAAGTTGAATTTTTGTAACCATTTGTCCATTTTGTACAAAACCCAAACTCCAAACATACAAGAGTCGTATGGATGTGCTAATTCAATTAGTTATTTCGGCCGAAATAATTCAGAATAAGTTATTTCAACCGAAATAACCTGTTTGGCAAAAATAAAATGGAATGTGATATTTTGTCCATGAGACAATTGAAATAACTCATTGTGAGTTATTTGAAATACCTACCCACCCCCTAGTTATTTCAAATAACTCATCTCTCAACTTCTTTTTTCAATTCAACCCTTCTTTAAGTGGTGAAATACCACAATATTTGAATGTTTTATCCAAACAAGACAATTAGACCAACAACTACATTACAAACTGAAATACAACATAGAGAAATAATACAACATTTCGATTCGGAATACTACATTACCAAAATGATGCATCCGACCGATATCCTCCTAACATTAATATAAAGAGGTTCTTCATGAGAAAGTACTTAATTCTAAATTTTGAGCTTTCTGAGTGAATTTAGGAGAGACACTTTTGTCTTTTTAATTAATAAAAATCCAAACAAAATACTTTGTTAATTATAATAATGAAAAATTAAAAGATTTCGTTGGTAACTATTGTAAAACCAATATTAAATTGTTACTTTTAGTTAGGAAAGATAGTTTTTTAATATTTTATCCGAGAGTTGTGCGTATCTATACATGTTCAATTTTTTTAATTTTAATATAATGTTAAGTGTTTGAGACAAATTCTTATATGCGTGAAACACACCAATTTTGATTTGAGGTTTTTGATAAAAAAAAGATACAAAATAAAACATCAATGCGTTAATAATAATGGCGAGGATGTTTATGAATATAATTATTAATGATTGTTTAACTAGTTATTATTTTATTTCTCAATTCTCTTTCAAGTATTGATTTTCTTTTAGAGGGATTAAATGTAGATCACAATCTCCATCTAGAAACTAGAAGTTCAAAGTTTAAAACCAATAGCTAGATAATTTCTTTCTTTGGTTCATTTTTCAAAAGATAATAAAAAAATAATGAGATCATACCACCTTAAATCTAGGTTTGTGATGTATTGTTTTCTTTTACCATAGCGGCAAATCAGAAACTCTGTTTGCTTTCTTTTTTCATAACTACCTATACTCTTCTATTGTTTTTAACTTAAAACTCATTCATTGAAGAGAAAAACAACTTACCCACTAAAACATAAAGGTTTTGACCAAATAATGTATATCAATTGTTTTTATTACTCTTCTATTGTTTTTAACTTCAAGCTCATTCATTAAAGAGAAAAACAACTTACCCACTAAAACATAAAGGTTTTGACCAAATAATGTATATCAATTGTTGTTATTTTATAGATTCAGGATTAGCTGTGAGTTGTAGACAATACTTGTTTAATTTAACTTCATCATTCTGTATAGCGAGGAAGCTAGATTTTTTGGAATGTCTATTGAGAAACTATTCAAAGATAGTGACAAAATGAGAGAACCCTCACCTCCCCGTCCCATACAAACCGAGTGCATGAAGTTAAATTTTCAGATCAAGCTCACCAATTACAACATTGTGAACCCCATAAGTGGGTACACAATTTTGAAGACAATGAAGGATGAAGAAGAGGGATCCTAGACAAAGTTCATGACATGTCTAGGTAAATTTAAGTTCTTGAAAGTGGAATTTTCATAATTAAAAAAATGCCATAAATATTTGCGTTCAGTGAAATGCAAAAGAAGAAGGAAGATCAAGTTTTTTTGGGTGTGAAACGGAGAGCATGGGGCGCTCCAACTCTAAAGCATTAATGAACCTGGGTGTATTAACCCTAATAGTGTCGTAATACAACCAGTATTTCAGCATAGGACCCGGAACATCAAACAAATGCACTCCAATGGGTAGTGAATGACCAACCAATGCCAGATGGTCCGCCACATAATTCCCCTCCCGATAGACACGATTGATCTTGACCTCCCCATCAACGTTCGAATGGTAGTAATCATAGTATAATGTGGATGGCTTGAATAAGAAGACTGCAGTAAACTCACAGTCGTAGCCGAGTATGTTAGAAGCAGTAATTTCCGGACCCCTGTCTCCCAAGCAATGCGCAAACCGCGGGCTATAGCTGCCAGTTCGGCATGAGAGATCGATCCTCCACCAAGGTTGGCCGCAAAGGCCTTCAAGAACCTCCCATCGTTTCCACGCATCACTCCTCCTGCTGCAGTACTCTTTTGAGATAGGATGACAGAACTGTCCGTGTTCAAAGACACCCACTCCGACAGAGGGCGCTACCAACTAATCAAGCTCCTTACCCTCTATGCTCCTTCAGTGATGGAGATAATGACGTTGTATAAGGTGAAATTATACTATTAAAATTTGGTTTTCAATGAAATGCAGGAAAAGAAAGAAGAGACGGTGAATATAAAGTTTCTCTAATGAAGATGAACTTGTGTGGAGAAGATGCTCTTGATGGCGTAGCTATCAAAAAGAAATACAAAGGAGAATTTATAGTCATATATCACAACAAAGAGTAAATTGTAGTGCGATTTGAATATTAAGTTTTTTAGGAATCGATTTCATGCATGAGTTGTGTTGTTTACCTTTTATAAGGACGTTTGTCCATGAATGATCAAGATGTTGTAAAACTTATAATGTAAGTTATATTTTTAATAATTTGATAATTTGAATTATTACATGGTATAAAAAATTATTAGAATAATTAAATAGTATTGATGACCAACGGAGTGAACCAACTCTAGTAACAATGTGTGCTAATAGTCTAATACCCATATTGTTGCAGGGCGATGTTGCATTGCATTGCATAATGCATTTACTCATTGAACGCTGACCCGACCCGTTCTAGAAAAGGCCAGATACTACAGCTAATGTAGATCTTCCCGAAAATGTCCGCTTCCTCCCCCAGACAAAACGACAAACGGGGTCGCCGTTTCATTTCCCCTCGCGGACCTTCGAGGGCGATTCTTGGCATTACTGAACGAAAATAAATAGAACCTCGCCGACGGTAGGGAAACGCTTCGTATTTGGTGCGGATTCCAATCCCCCCAATCCCGCTTTCCGCGTCCCTCTCTCTCTCTCTCTCTCTCTCTCTTCCCTTTGTTTTCTTAGCGCACACCCAAAACCGCCATTTCTCCGTTCGTCCGCTATCCCTCTCTCTCTCCTAGGGTTTGGGTTTCCTAGTCGTGTCTACTTTGAAAATCAGGAGAAAACGAAGGGGAAAACAATGGCCCCAGCACCAACTTATCCGCGCTCTAACCTCCCCAATCTCTCTCTGCAGCAGCGTTCTGCTTCATCCATGGCTTGATTTCTTTTCTATCTTCCCTTTCTCTGGTAATTAATCCTACCCTTCTTGTGAAGCTCTTCGACGATTTACTGTCATTCATTTCTCAGCTGTTGTCCCGGGGTGTTGAAGCGTGGGTTCTAAGTCTGCTATGATGGCTGCTTGTGTCCTTCGTGTTTAATTTAGGGTTTTGAACTTAGGTATTCCTGATTGGGGGATCCGCGAGAGCTGTATCCGCTGTTCCTTCTTTGCTGGGTTAGTGAATTTCGGGCTGTGAAGTTGGGTTGAGTACTGTCCTTTCGATTGGACTGAGTGTTCCTGTTGTAGTGATTGGCTTGCTTTGTTCCGATACTAGTCAGTGGTGCAATTGGAAGGTTCTAATGTTCAGCGTCTTCTTCCTTTCTATCGCTTACGAGAGAAAGGGTCGTGTACTGTTGCATAGTTGAATTGGTTCATGCAGATTGTTTTGTATATTTGATAGTGTTCTTGTTTGATTGTTTTGATGATTTCCTCCCTTCCAAATACTCGTAAATCACAGCTGGTCTCTTAGCATGGCATATGCTTAAGTTTGGATTTATTTACTTCTCCAGGGCTTGGAGCTTTGGAATGGAAATGTACCATGTTTCTGGAAATTCAAACACGGAAACATATTTGGTATTTTTCTTGCAGTTCACTGTCTGCCTCCTGTTTATCTTTATTCTGCTCTCATATTTCTCTTTTACCTTCCTCTATGTGTTCAATTCTGTTGGTTTGGATTGGTTGGACCTTTGCTTCGTTAACCCACTCCCTTTTGATGCGTTATAGATTCAACAAGCTGGAATTGACCCTGTATTGACTTCTCCGGTGTTTGAACAATCTGAAACCATGTACAACGAAGGAGCCCCTGAGTATGTTGTGGATCAAGGAATGTACTATCCTACCACTACCAACTATAGTTGGTACTGTACAGGTAATTTGGTTATTGTGTTTTTTTTTTTATTACAGAGTGTGCTGATAGATTAATCTATTATATCTCACTTGTTTGTCATGTATTTTTAATGTAATTTAGGATTTGAAGCACCCGGCGAATGGGAGGACCCCCACATGTTTTTTGGTGTAGATGGTCCTGAAGTTCAGTATGCGGTGAGTATTCTTCCTTCGATTGGTAATTGCTGTGTTCAGTTACAATGCCTGACTAATGAATTACTTATTACAACTCCACTTTACCTTTTTCAGGGTGCACAAACTGAAAATTTACCTTATGTATGTTATACACCTAGCTATGGATATGCACAGTCTCCATACAACCCATACAATCCGTACATACCTGGTGCCATGATGGGAGTGGATGGCTCATATATAAGCTATACCGCGCCTGGTTACCAGGACTCTATTTCCTCAGCTGGTTATGTCCCCGTTTTTGTTCAACCAGACGCTTCTCCAAGCAATTTGGTGGATCCCCTTCCTGATGCCGGTGTTGTATATGCTAATAGTGAACACGGTGGAAGAAGACACGGATCATCTTCTTCAGCCTTCTCTAGGAATCCTTCTAAATCCTCTGGTAATCAGACCAACTCATGGGAAAGACCAGCTTCTGAGGGACCTAGGTCTAACATTGGAAGTAGCAAGTATTCTTTGGTGCATGATAATGTTTCTTCTGGTAGCTATCAAACAGCAACAGCGCGTGTGCTTCAGGTAAATATCTGGTTTTATTCTTTCTTTTACAAAAGAGAAAACACAAGCCTCATGCTTGTAACCATGTTTGTTCAATTGTACATGATTCCTTACCATGGCACTACTCTCACACATGTTTTGTTTCAATGATCATAACTGTATTGATAACAGAGCAGGAATGCATCTGGACCCAATCAGTCGATTGACATCACCACAAAGGTAAAGGCTCTACCTCAGCGGAATCAGTTGAAACTTGCTTCCCCTGTCAACAATGACTTCTCTGATTTTGGATCAAATGCTCATGGAAGACCTTACATGGACAAGAATCGATCAAATGCCCATGTTGGCAGAACCCTCAATGACGATGCACTGGGTGAGCAGAATCGTGGACCTAGAACAACCAAATCCAAAACTCAGTTAGCTGTTAAAGCATACACAGCCAAAGTTGGTGATTCTAATGCAGAGGAAAATATCATAATTTCTTCTGATCAATACAACAGGGATGATTTCCAAGTTGACTACACTTGTGGAAAGTTCTTTGTGATAAAATCATATAGCGAGGATGATGTTCACAAGAGCATCAAATACAATGTTTGGTCATCAACTCCTCATGGGAACAAAAAGCTGCAGAGTGCCTTTGAAGATGCACAGAAGATAGCTGCAGATAAAGCTAGCAGTTGTCCCATATTCCTTTTCTTTTCGGTGAGCTTTACTTCCTTGATGGTGGCGGACTTCTCACCTATTGAGAAATATGCATAATAAGGAGCTCCATTAATGTGGTCATTTGATGGTGCAGGTCAATGCAAGTGGACAGTTTTGTGGTGTTGCTGAGATGATTGGTCCAGTTGATTTCAGAAAGGATATGGATTTTTGGCAGCAAGATAAATGGTCTGGTAGTTTCCCAGTGAAGTGGCACATGATTAAAGATGTACAAAATGGCAGCTTCAGGCATATTATCTTGGAGAACAATGAAAATAAGCCAGTTACTAATAGCCGAGACACTCAAGAGGTATGCCATCATTTTTTCAGGATAGCTGACCTTCAGCCTTACTGCTTGTTTAATACTGTGAGATTTCTTCTCGATCAAATCCGTGTAAAGCAAGTTCATTTAATCTTTAAACTTTGCAAAGATGTGTTTCTTTTACGAAAGCTTTACCGAAGTGGCTTTTTGGTTTCATGCAGGTAATGTTCTTGCAAGGCCTGGAGATGCTGAAGATTTTCAAAAGCCAAGTTTTGGATACTTCTATACTCGATGACTTCACCTACTATGAGAACCGGCAGAGAATCATGCAAGAAGAAAAAACCAGGTTTGCAGTTAAGAGGTTTGGAACTCCATTCCTAGCAGCTGCTTTGGATCCCAATCCCAAACTCAATAGTCGAGTTGGGAATCCCTCAACTAAATACGAGAAAGCAGCTGTTCAGGAGACCCAGGCATCATCTGGCACAGCAAGAATCGCTTCTATATCCGAACCCCCCACCAGAAGTGAGCCTTCTGACCGTGCAGTTGCTGAGGTAGACAACAGTGTAGTAGCAGCTACCACTCTGAAGATTGGCTCGCTCAATATAAACCCGAGGCGGCCTCAGTCCATGGCTAGCCCCGATCCAGCTGGAACAGCTACTGGCAGCAACGCTGCTAATGTTGTCACTGTAGGAACGGTCCCAGTCAAAGTCAATGGATTTGCTGAATCTTCTGGGGTTTTAACTTTTGGCACAATTCCACTGGATTCGAGGGCTTTGCAGAGCGGGAAAGGAGTCGGCGGTGGTGGTTCAGCGAAAAGTGCACGCTAAACAGCTAGCTGGGTTTGATTGATTTTGAGGTGGGCAGGAACAGTATTTTGGCGGGGTAAAGGGTTTTACAAGTTTTTGGCAAGGCGGGAATTGCTGTATACTTCAGAGTTGCACACTTTATACCATTCTCGGTTTGGAGGGGGAAGCCTTGATCATTGAGTAGTGCCTTAGTGGGAAGTACAGGCTGCGGGCGTATGGTTTTACCGAGGTTATCAAGCGTTTCGTTGCTTTTCTTTTTTTCCTGGTTAGTGGTTACATTATGGTTGTTTTTGCCTCGCCCAAAAGCGATGAAAGTTACTTTGTAATCTGGCCTTTTTCTCATGAAATATAATAAATTACAAAAAAAAGTAAAGGATGTGTAATGTCAGATATAAGATAATGTGCATACGGTCAGAGGACCTTGGTTATAAATAGGTAAGATTAAGAGATTTTTTGGATTTCGTTCAAAATCTATTGTTTGGCAGAAAGTGTAAATTTGAATAACAATAAACAATTTAGAAAAGCTATTAGAAAAGCTATTTTTTGGGTAACTGATCTTAGGGATGGCAAAAATATCCGTAATTGTGGATATCCATTCGAACCCGGCCTAATCGGGTAGGGTAAAACCCGAATTCGAGGGACATTTAGTGGGTACGTGTAAAACTCGAACTCGAATATTGCGGGTAATGGGTGGGCATGAGTTTCTCACTATCCAACCCGAACCCACCCGATTATACACATACATATGTATTTTGTCTAGAAATAATCATTATTTTTCTCTAACATATTTTATATTTAGCATATAAATATAATATTTTCATGAAATTGTGTTGTTTTAATTAATTTTCTTCATTCTAGTGAATTATTGTCATACTTTTTCTCTTACGTAATGTGAGAATACGTGTGAATGTTAACATATTGGTTGGAGTTATGAAGAGAAATCATTACTATGGATAACTGTGGATACCCGAATGGGTATGGACATGGTTTTAATTTTCTACCCGTTTCACATATGGGTATGGGTATGAGTAAAACCCAAACTACTTTGGGTAGGGTAACGGATATGCACTATCCGTCCCCGACCCGACCCATTCCCATCCCTAACGGATCTACTGATGATTTTTTTTTTTAAATGTAATCAAAAGTTTAAATTTCGAAACTCATGGGAAGCATCTAAGAACATCTCCAACAATGCAATTGTTCTGCAATTTCAATTGTGGTTGCTACCTATTGTTACCTAAAACACTTTATTAGTTAACTCACTCCTCATTTTCATACTCTTACGTAGTGCAATTGTAATTGTGAGTCCGATACAAATATAATAAGGATAAATGTCACATTTGGTCATTGTGATTACTAAATCGTCTTATATTTAGTCACTAGAAAAAATTAATATAAATTTTGGTCACTCGAATTACTAAAATATGTTACATTTAGTCGCTCTCCCATTAGCCTCCATCCAACTCCGGTCACTCAAATTACGTTTTTTATGCATGTCACTCTAATTACTGAAACATGTCACATTTAGTCACTCTCCCGTTAGTGAATGTGTCATTATTAAATTATTATATTGGGCATTTGGTTATTGAGGTTAGTAAATCATGTCATGTTTAGTTACTAGAAAAAATTAATATCAATTTTGTTCACTCTAATTACTGAAACTAATTACTGAAACGTGTCACATTTAGTCACTCTTCCGTTAGTTTCCGTCCAACTCCGTTATAACTAAACATGACATAATTTAGTAACCTTGCCCAATATAATAATTTGTTAATGACACATTCACTACACTCTCTAGGGGTGTTCAAATGGTTACCATGGTTATAACCAAACCAAATAAGACTAAATTCCATTAACCATGGAATACAATATCATAACCAAACCGTCCAAACTAATACAACAACCAAACTAACCAAACTAAAGTTTAGTCGGTTTGGTTAATTGGTTAGCCAGATTAACCAATATAAAATCACATTATCATTGACGATGAAAATTTCCCGGTTAATGCAACAATTCGCAATTTATATAATGAATAAAACATAACAATCAATACGTAGTTATAGTTGACCCTTAACAAAAATACATGCAACTAAGACAATTATTTTCCGATTAGTATAGAAGTATTCACCTAACAAAAATTTATGACAATGGTATGGGTTAATGAATTGTTGTGTTTGTGTAAATTGACTTAGTCTCTTAGCAATTATCATTGTCTGGAAATGACCTTTCTTTAAAGTTTTCATCCATTATAATGTATGAAATTTATCTAACTTAGGCGTCCATATGTTGTGGTCTACATTTTACATATACAAATATACACTATATGAGCAATATTGAGCTTTATATTTTATGAGTCTAAAAGGGATGAACGTTAACTCTTGAGTGGTTATGCAAAGTATTAAGTATGTGTATATAATATATGTTAGATATATGACTAATTACTTAACTGGTTAATTTGGTTTGACTGGTTAGGAGTGTCTGAAACCAAACCAAACCACCTAAACCAAACAAGTTAAAAACTTTAACCAAACCAAACCAATTATCCAAATTAACCAAACCAAATTATCCAAATAATACTGGTTAAAACGGTTACCATGATAACCAAACCGTTTGAACACCCCTAACACTCTCAATATTAAATTCTTCTAAATTTGAAGTTCTCACACTCCGTTCTCGCTCCTGCACTCACTCTGCAACTCATAATCTCTCTGTTCTTCCCCCTGGTCTCTTCTTCTTCTTGGTTCCGTTCCTAACCTTCTTCTTCCTTTCTCAATCCCTCCATTTCTTTCCTAATTGCAGTACTCTGCTTCCTCCATTCTCCATTCAATTCATCGAGATCAGGTTCATATCAGGCCAGGCGTGATAAGTAATTTACTTCTTGTCAATACAAAGAGGAAAAGAGAGCTTCAAATATCGGTTTGAGATGGTTGACGTTGACTCCCTGAACCCCTTCCATCTGCCGCCCAGTATCGTTGAATCAGTAGAGCATCCTAGCTAGTACTTCCCCAGTGTCACCATGTCCTTCCCCGTCGCCTGTGAACCCTCCTCTCCCGCCGCCTCTCCCGCCGATCTATTCCTCTACGACGTCTTCCTGAGCTTCAGAGGTGCCGACACTCGGCACGGCTTCGTCAGCCATCTCTACAACGCGCTCCGGCAGAGAGGGATCAGCACGTTCAAGGACGATCAGAATCTCGACCGCGGGAAACCAATAACGCCGGAGATTCTCCGGGTGATTCGACAATCCAGATTTTCGATCGCCGTTTTCTCTGAAGGCTACGCTTCTTCCCCATGGTGTCTGGGAGAGCTCCAAGCCATCATCCAGTGCACGGAGAGAGACGAGACTCGAGCGGTGCTCCCAATCTTCTACAACATCGACCCGTCGGATGTGAGCGAGGTCAAGAACAGTTACGCTGAGTCGTTTGCCAAACACGAGCTGGATTTCCCTCGTGATCCTGAATTGCTCCGAAATTGGAGAGCTGCTCTCAGCAAAGCTGCTGAATTTAGCGGCTGGGGCTCCCGCAATCGGTACGAACTTCCGATATTCTTTACTCTTCCAACTTTTTGTTTCCGAAATCTGACCAGCATTTTATGCTCGATTCGCAAATGTCTAGTTCTCAGTTCGATGAGGTCACTTGTGTGCAGGGACGAACCGACTCTTATTAGTATGATTGTGGCAGATGTACTGAACAAGCTGGGTCGTAATGTCTCGAACAAGCTTTCTGGCCTTGTTGGAATGGAAACCCCAATAAAGAAAGTGGAATTGCTATTGCATACAGGGTTGGTTGATATTCGGATCGTTGGGGTTTGGGGGATGCCAGGCATTGGTAAAACCACCCTTGCGGAAGCTGTTTATCACCAAATATCTCATAAATTTGATGCTTGTTGCTTCCTGAAGAGTGTTAGAGAGGCAGCAGAGACACATGGGTTGGATCATCTACGAAGCAGACTTCTTTCAGCTTTGATAGTGGAAGATGGTTTTAAGATTTCAGAACAGCAACTGGATGTGCTAATGAGTGGCAGACTTCGCTGCAAATGCGTCCTCGTAGTTCTTGATGATGTGTCTCATGTAGATCAGTTGGTAAGATTGGCAGGGGATCGCGATTGGTTTGGAGCAGGGAGTAGAATCATCGTGACAACTAGAGATAAGCACTTGCTGGAGCAGCATGGAGTGGACTCAATTTATGAGGTCAAGCCTTTAAGAGGCGCTGAATCTCTTCAACTGTTTCAGCAACATGCTTTTAAGAATTCCGCTAACTCCAACAGGCAAGATTTTTCTGCACTCTCACAACGTGTTGTGAATTATGCCCAGGGGCTTCCCTTGGCCCTTAAAGTTCTGGGGTCCTCTTTATTCAACATGCATAAAGGTGAATGGGAAAGCAAACTGAACACCCTGGAAGATGAACCTCCAGGGGACGTAATTAAGGTCCTTAGATTAAGTTTGGACACGCTTTCTAGAAATGAAAAGAAGATATTTCTTGATGTTGCTTGTTTCTTTAAAGGGGAGGATAAAGATTATGTTGTGAGCATACTAGAAGCTTGTGGTTTCCCTGCAAGCTATGGATTAGAAGTCCTTCGCCGTAGATCTCTTCTGATTCTGCAGGATGACACTAATGCGATTTGGATGCATGATTTGGTCCAACAGATGGGGTGGGAAGTTGTCCGTCAAGAGTGTTTTGATGATGCTGGCCGGCGTAGCAGGCTGTGGGATCATCAGGACGTTCAGAATGTATTGACACAAAACATTGTGAGTAAAGAGCAAGAACATACATCTTCAGTCATGTCTTAGTGAATTCAAAACTTGTTAAATATTATTCCAAAAGAATCAATTAATTATGCTAGGTGTACGGTTGTGTACTAACTTAACTCATTCTACTTGTTCCAGGGGACAAGACATGTTGAAGGTGTTACCCTCGATATTTCCAAAGTGAATGAGATGTCTGTTGAAGTTGATGCTTTCCACAGGATGACTAGTCTCAGATTGCTCAAGATCTGCTATCTACAACATTCTGGTATTTCTGAGTACGTTTCCAGAAATGAGTCGTGTCGTGATACTTATGACTGCAGAGGAAATGATGCCTATTTTTCGGGGAAGTTAGAATCTCTTCCACATGAGTTGGGAAGTCTTCAACTCGCTGGACATCCATCCAGTAGCCCCGGAAGAAATGACTCCTCAGTTGAGGATTATAAGCTTCATTTTTCAGGAGAGTTGAGAACTCTTTCAAATAAATTGTCGAGTCTCCATTGGCATGGATATCCATTTGAGACATTGCCTCCAAATTTTTATCCAAGGAATCTGGTTGAGTTTAATCTGTCATACAGTCGCTTAAGAAACTGTTGGTCAAGAAAGGAGGTATGTCATTTGTTGTAGAAAGCATAAATAGTTTCTCTTACCTAAAGTATATGTACATGTGAGGTGTAGTCAAAATCCCTAGTCTATCCTCTAAAACCTGGAAAACTCTAGATGTGGTATCGTATATTTTGTTTCTACGTAAAATCTATAGTTCAACTATCTAACATCTGAAACAAACACTTGTTTCTGCAGACTTTTGACAAGCTGAAATTCATAAAACTCAGCAACTCTCAAGAGCTCACCCACGCACCAGATTTCTCTTTCATCCCAAACCTTGAGATACTCATTCTCGAAGGTTGTGTGAAGTTAGTTGAGCTTCATCCTTCTGCTGGGTCTCTGGAAAAGCTCATTTACTTGAATTTGAAAGGCTGCAAAAGTTTGCTTCACCTGCCACCCAGTATTGCCATGAGTTCTTTGAAGATTCTTATATTATCAGGATGTTCGCAGCTAAAGAATTTTCCCGAGGTGGAGGGGAACATGGAAAGCCTGTCGGAGCTTCTTCTCGATGGTACGGATATAGGGGAGATACCCTCGTCGATTCAAAGGTTAACTGGCCTTGTCGTGTTGAGCGTCACAGGGTGTAAACGCTTAGGGTTTATTCCTGCTGCCGTTGGTAGTTGCCGAGCCTTGAAGATACTTCGACTCTCGGGCTGTGCTGATCTTCGGCATGTTCTGTTCGAGTTAAGCATGCTGGAAAATCTAGAGGAACTCCATGCACAAGGAACTGCTCTAGATTGGAGATGTCTGGTAGCTGGCGGCCATCCGAAGCTTAAAATAATCACACTTCACCATTCTAGGCAGCACGATGTACTTTCCTCTGAAGTCTCTGAAAGTTCTCGCTTAAGCAAGTCTTCCTTTGGCCTTGTAACATATAAGTTCCCTTCCTTGACTCATCTGGATCTGAGTTACTGCAACTTGCGGGATCGGTTCTGGGGCATCAGTTCTCTGGCCAGCCTGAAGGTTTTGGATCTAAGCGGAAATCTCTTTGCCAGATTGTCGAGAAAGGAACTCCCGAAAAACATCAAAGTTCTTCTCTTGGCGAATTGCGAGAAGCTTCTGTCCATACCAAGGCTGCCGCCTACAACATATTCCTTGGAAGCACCAAACTGTACATTGTTGCAATTCATGGATTACCCTGCAGGCAATGAATCGGGAAGAATGAGGGGCATTAACCTCATGAATTGCTTGCAATTGGGTACTGAATCCCGATCCGGCCATGGTCCACGAAGCTATTGTGAAGTAGCTGTCAGGTTGCTACTGTCTCAAATACAAAAGGTCCCCTTCAAAGCTTCCATGATCCAACTCTCTAGCTATTTTCTGCTTTAAACTCTCTGTGCTGGATCAAATTTATACATTTTGATTTGCAATGCAGATGTCTTCACCGTCGGTTGATGTACTGTCTATCATCATCCCGGCGAGCAGTATCATACCAGAGTGGAGTCCTTTCCAGGATGTGGGTTCTAGCACAACCTCGTTTAAGGTGTCTGGAAGTCACTCGTGGAGCAATGACGGTCTCAAAGGCTTGGTCGTGTGGGCGACTTTTGAAGTCCGCGGCTCAGTGGCTCGGGGTAGCCTCAGCCTCAGCTTCCGTATTGTGATCGGCGGCGCGAATGTGATCTCTGATGTTGGTTTCGTGGTGAGCGAAAATACCAGGGTTGATTCGGAACACATGTGGCTCCGTTTCATCCCAGCTCTGCTCTTCAAGACGATGCCGTTCGGTGGGCCGTCACAGTTGGGCGGCTGGGCGATGTCTGCTGCAGCGGCTGTTGAAGCTAACAGCCCTGACTTGGTTGTGAAGAGCTGCGGGCTGGCACCGGTGCGCTGCAGCGAGGACGGTCATTTTTCCAAACCGGAAAAGTTGCTACAAAATGGTGGTTGGAGTAGGCAGTGGCGGAGGAACGATTTGAAACTACGTCTGTCCTCTTTTCAGTTGAAACTTGCTTCCCCTGTCAACAATGGCTTCTCTGATTTTGGATCAAATGCTCATGGAAGACCTTACATGGACAAGAATCGATCAAATGCCCATGTTGGCAGAACCCTCAATGACGATGCACTGGGTGAGCAGAATCGTGGACCTAGAACAACCAAATCCAAAACTCAGTTAGCTGTTAAAGCATACACAGCCAAAGTTGGTGATTCTAATGCAGAGGAAAATATCATAATTTCTTCTGATCAATACAACAGGGATGATTTCCAAGTTGACTACACTTATGGAAAGTTCTTTGTGATAAAATCATATAGCGAGGATGATGTTCACAAGAGTATCAAATACAATGTTTTGTCATCAACTCCTCATGGGAACAAAAAGCTGCAGAGTGCCTATGAAGATGCACAGAAGATAGCTGCAGATAAAGCTAGCAGTTGTCCCATCTTCCTTTTCTTTTCGGTGAGCTTTACTTCCTTGATAGTGTCGGACTTCTCACCTATTGAGAAATATGAATCATAAGGAGCTCCATTAATGTGGTCATTTGATGGTGCAGGTCAATGCAAGTGGACAGTTTTGTGGTGTTGCTGAGATGATTGGTCCAGTTGATTTCAGGAAGGATATGGATTTTTGGCAGCAAGATAAATGGTCTGGTAGTTTCCCTGTGAAGTGGCACATGATTAAAGATGTACAAAATGGCAGCTTTAGGCATATTATCTTGGAGAACAATGAAAATAAGCCAGTTACTAATAGCCGAGACACTCAAGAGGTATGCCATGATTTCTTTTTCAATATAGCTGACCTTCAGCCTTACTGCTTGTTTAATACTGTGAGATTTATTCTCTATCAAATACGTGTGAAGCAAGTTCATCTAATCTTAAAACTTTGCAAAGATGGGTTTCTTTTACGAAAGCTTTACCAAAGTGGCTTTATGGTTTCATGCAGGTAATGTTCATGCAAGGCCTGGAGATGCTGAAGATTTTCAAAAGCCAAGTTTTGGATACTTCTTTACTTGATGACTTCACCTACTATGAGAACCGGCAGAGAATCATGCAAGAAGAAAAAACCAGGTTTGCAGTTAAGAGGTTTGGAACTCCATTCCTAGCAGTTGCATTGGATCCCACTCCCAGTTGCTCCCAATAACTCGAGTTGTTGGGAGAAGGTTTTGCTGGCTCTTATATCACTCTCTAACACACCCCCTCAAACGAAAGCCAACCCACGGGCTTGAAGTTTGCACAGGCCCACCATACCATGTGCTTGAAAGACAACGGTTAATATTGGGGGTCGTGGAGATTCGAACACATGACCTTTCGGTTCTAGGCTCTGATACCATGTCAAGAACCAGTTGCTTCCAATAACTGGAGTTGTTAGGAGAAGGTTTTGCTGGCTTTTATACCACTCTCTAACAGATCGCGGGTTGCTCTACAGTAGAAGGGAGAAAGTGAAGGGATTAATTTTTTTTAGTTTTTTTTAATTCGGTTGTAATTGCTTTCTAATTAAAACCGAATTTCTTAATTGTGTTGAGCGTCACAGGGTGTAAACGCTTAGGATCTATTCCTGCGACCGTTGGTAGTTGCCGAGCCTTGAAGATACTTCGACTCTCAGGCTGTGCTGATCTTCGGCATGTTCTGTTCGAGTTAAGCATGCTGGAAAATCTAGAGGAACTCCATGCACAAGGAACTGCTCTAGATTGGAGATGTCTGGTAGCTGGCGGCCATTCGAAGCTTAAAATAATCACACTTCACCATTCTTGGCAGCGTGATGTAGTTTCCTCTGAAGTCTCTGAAAGTTCTCGCTTAAGCAAGTCTTCCTTTGGCCTTGTAACATATCAGATCCCTTCCTTGACTCCTCTGGATCTGAGTTACTGCAACTTGCGGGATCGGTTCTGGGGCATCAGTTCGCTGGCCAGCCTGTTGGTTTTGGATCTAAGCGGAAATCTCTTTGCCAAATTGTCGAGAAAGGAACTCCCGAAAAACATCAAAGTTCTTCTCTTGGCGAATTGCGAGAAGCTTCTGTCCATACCAAGGCTGCCGCCTACAACATATTCCTTGGAAGCACCAAACTGTACATTGTTGCAAGTCATGGATTACCCTGCAGGCAATGAATCGGGAAGAATGAGGGGCATTAACCTCATGAATTGCTTGCAATTGGGTACTGAATCCCGATCGGGCCATGGTCCACGAAGCTATTGTGAAGTAGCTGTCAGGTTGCTGCTGTCTCAAATACAAAAGGTCCCCTTCAAAGCTTCCATGATCCAACTCTCTAGCTATTTTCTGCTTTAAACTCTCTGTGCTGGATCAAATTTATACATTTTGATTTGCAATGCAGATGTCTTCACCGTCGGTTGATGTACTATCTATCATCATCCCGGCGAGCAGTATCATACCAGAGTGGAGTCCTTTCCAGGATGTGGGTTCTAGCACAACCTCGTTTAAGGTGTCTGGAAGCCACTCGTGGAGCAATGACGGTCTCAAAGGCTTGGTCGTGTGGGCGACTTTTGAAGTCCGCGGCTCAGTGGCTCGGGGTAGCCTCGGCCTCAGCTTCCGTATTGTGATCGGCGGCGCGAATGTGATCTCTGATGTTGGTTTCGTGGTGAGCGAAAATACCAGGGTTGATTCGGAACACATGTGGCTCCGTTTCATCCCAGCTCTGCTCTTCAAGACGATGCCGTTCGGTGGGCCGTCACAGTTGGGCGGCTGGGCGATGTCTGCTGCAGCGGCTGTTGAAGCTAACAGCCCTGACTTGGTTGTGAAGAGCTGCGGGCTGGCGCCGGTGCGCTGCAGCGAGAACGGTCATTTTTCAAAACCGGAAAAGTTGCTACAAAATGGTGATAGGAGTAAGCCGTGGTGGAGGCATAATTTGAAACTACCTTTGTCCTCTTTTCAAAATTTATAATTAATAATATTTAAATAATTTATTTATAAATAAAGAAATATCTTACTAATACAATTATTGTTTGCATCAATAATCACGACGAGTTTTCATATTATGAAAGAAATGAAAAATACATTCATTGTTTACACTCTTAATTGAGTCTCTTACAATGTATCTCACTAAACAAACTCATCACCAAATCGATTTCAAAACTTGTTCTTAATATAGCTAATAGAATAAAAGCTAGTTTTGCTGTACTACCAATCTAAAAATGTTCTTTCTACATTTACTTTTGCAACTTGCAACTAATAGAATAAAAGCTAGTTTCCGAAGCAAATAACTGACTGTTATAACCGATGCACTTTTGTCTCCACCAGTGCTCTAGATAATTCATCAATTTATTTTAGTCAATTCTATCTCTCATAAGCCATAACATCGTCATAATACCCAACAAGTTGTTGTCAAATAATCAGTGTTATCAAAACCGACCTAAGTCGGTTGGTCGGACTGGTAAAACCGGCACCCGGACACAATTCCGACTCGGATCATCTCAAAAACCGTATCGGTCAATAAGCTCGATTAAGGAGCGGCCGAAACGGTTAACCGGTTGAGCCGCTCGAACCGTCCAAGCGATTTTTGGCTTCTGACCACAATTGTCGTCGGCGACAAATCCTCTCGCGCAGTGGCGGATCCAGGGCTGGGCCAACCTGGACCAGGGCCCAACCCTCCTTTGAATCCAGAGGTTATATTGAGCCCCTCCACATTTTTTGGCCCAGCCCTCTCGTCCGCCTCCCAAACGCCAAATGATGGAGTTATGGACTCCAAGATAGCTAGTTGTATAATGAAGTGGGTAATGGGTAATTGTTGGGCTAATGTATGTGGGTTTTGGATTATTAGTGCATGAGCTTAATTAGAAGATTAGTAGTGCTAGGTTGCCAAGTTAGCTAGGGAGAAGTGAAGGGTTCGGCTATGGTTAGGCTAATAGGTAGAGTTACATATTATATAAATGTATTTGCAGCGTTAGTCTTGGGAATCAATCAATGAAAAACAAAAGGGTTTTTTATATTAATTTTGGCCTCTCACTTGTGACTTACAAGTAAAACTCTGGAACCGTAAGTTACAGTTCATCACCAAAATTGTAATGTTTGATGCATGTGGTTTGGATCGGGGGGATTATTGCTAGTATTAGCTTTTTTATTTGTTTAAAAACGTTTCATGGATAGGGGTTTGTGATTGGTCAATTAGGAGTAGTAGGGGTTACGTGGGCTATTAGTGCACGAGTCTAGTAGTGTGTCGGTAGTAAATGTGTCGAGTAGAATGAAACGGAGCCTTTAGAATATAGGGAGTTTGTAAATAGAAATCCAGAAGTAGAGGTTGTTTATTTGGAGAAATGCTATGGACAAATGACCTAATTTTGAGAATAAGAGATGACAAGGAATGAACCATTAGAATTAGGAAGTGAATTAGAAACTTTTATAGAATTACCGTGCTATTTGATTTTGCAGATTTGAAGATAATGACAAATTTATTTGAAGAGTTCTAATTATAGACAAACTTGTTGAAGAAAATGAGATGCATTCTTTTAAGAATGGGGTACCATATTATATACTCTCAAATTTGCACAAAATTCATTAACCATATGTAATTGTCTATTTAAATATGGCCTAGTGCTCTACAAAATCCTGGATCCGTCGTTGCTGCTCTCGCGGAGACGCTACTGCCTCCAGCAAGTTCCCCCGCCTACCAATTGAAAACTAGATCTATGGATCTGCTGTTTGGGATGGAGGGAGAGAGAGAGAGGAAGAACTGTCGATTTGCTAGAGAGGGAGAGAGCGAAGCAGGGAGCCAGGGACAAGTCGTCGGGTTGATAGGTTTTTGCATCAGTGAAGAGGAAATTAGAGATAATTGTGGGATTTTTCCACAAATAGCACCTTAAAAAAATTACAAAAATAGCACCCAGCTGAAAAAATTTACACTAATAACACCCTTTTTTATGGACCGCACCTTAAAGGTGCGTTTTATAAATAAAACGCACCTTTAGGGCGCGATTTAAAATCCTGGACCAAAACCGCTGCAACCGCTGCTTGGCCAAGCGGTTTTAGGTCTGACCTACAGAAACCGCTTGGCCGTGGTGCGGTTTTAGGTCTGACCTACTTAAACCGCACCATGAAGCTGCGGTTTGATTCTCCCAAACAAAACCGCATCTTCATGGTGCGGTTTTGTCACTCAAACCGCACCCCCAAGGTGCGGTTTTCGTCAATTATTTCCGACATCCCATGCAGAACAACAGACGTGGGTCTGCATGGGACTGCATGGCAGACGAAAACCGCACCTCTAAGGTGCGGTTTTCATCAGTGATTTTGCCTATAAAAGGCTTCCCGGAAAACCATTTCTCTTCACACCTCTCCTTCTCCCTTTTCAATTTTCTGTTGTAGCTCTATATTTCTTTAGTAGTTTTGCGATTATCATTAACTCGTAAGTTTATTTTGTATTACGTTTTAGTGTTATTTTTTATTTTTGATTTTCATGATATTAACTAAACTACGGTTTTTTCGTAGATGGCATTCCAAAAGTTCACGGTAGGCTTACGGTGGAATGGTTACACGGAAGAGACCGGAAAGGGGGCCACCTACGTCAGTGGCAATTTTCAGAAGATAAAGGTCGCTACCAGACCGCTGCTTGAAGACCTCCATCAAATGTGCACTAACGTTACTTGCATGGATGGCACGAGAAGAGTTGATCGTATGGTGTACCGATATCCAAACAAAGAAAGTGGGTCATTGTGGCATGAGGAATATCTCATAACCACTCAGGATGAGGTAGATGCCATGCTCGAATTCTTGAGGTCCAACAATCTTTCCAAAGCCGAGATGTTCGTTTACACCGAGCTGTTCGTAGGCGTTGGAGGTCATTCTGGACACGGTCAAACATCTGGTATCCATGGTGGAGGTGAATTATATGGCGATCATCCCTACCAAAGTTACCATGATCCACATTCCTATTTTCAGTACCAAGAGCAAGGTGAAGGTCATCATCAATCTTTCCCGTCATATGAAGAAGAAGTTCAATCGGACCTCCCCAACCAACCTCAATACAACTTCCATTAAGGCAGCGGTAGTTTTCACAACTACCATTATGGAGCTGATGAAGGTGCCTTTCATGAGCTGGATCAGATGGAGGATGTCCTGCCAGCACCAGTCAGTGACCCCTCCGATGAAGAAGGAGAGAACAACGTCAGTGCAAACAGCTCCGACCCTCTTGAAGGTGTTGATGATTCAGGACCAGAGTCAGACTCAGCTAATGATGATGAGGTGGCTCGTGACCGTGTACCAATCCCCTACTACAATCACATTCCATACGACAATTGGATGGTCGACAGCGACATGGAGCCGCCAGAGGTCCCAATATGGGGTCCACTCACTGGGTTTCCACTCACTGGGTTTATGAAGGGCCAACAATTTGGTTCGAAGAAAGAGGTGCGGCACGCCATTGGCAACATCCTTTAGCGTGATGGTGGCCTCTCCTTCTCTAAAGTTGAAACAATGGGTCTCCTTTCTCCATCTCTCGGCTAATGCGGTGATGAGTTGGCGATCAATTTGGATGCCGTTAAAATGCCTAATCGAGTCCAACCGTGCCCTTTTGAGAAAGGGCAAGATAGCTGGGTGGAATGGGAACACATTGGTGGTACCCCTGTAGCGGATTATTGTTTGTGCCTCCTAACAAAAATTTACGCGTTAATTATTATATATTAGTAAGGGTTTTTTTCTTATAACTAAATTAATTAAATTAAATTATTTAACTTCAAGCAGAATTTTATTATCATTAAAAGACATTTCATATTATCATATTATCATAAAACAAACATGCTAAATTAATTAACATAATAACATTCTAAATGAATATTAATTTAAAGAGATACATACATATTATCATAAACCAAAAATACTCAATTAATTAACATAAATAACATTGTTAATGAATAATAATTTAAATAGAAACATACATATTCAAATGTTTGAAATTAATAAAATTCTTTTTTTACACATAAAAATAAATCGTATTGGTTGTTTGGTAAATAATTTAATCGTATTGATTGTTTTAAATAATTTAATCGAATACAAAGTAACACTCGTTAGACTCTTAGAAGAGGTATACATCTTCTTAGAAACGCAGTCTTTTTGACAGAAAAAGGGGGGATCCGAGGATCTCTTAATACCCGATTTTCCCAGGTAATGGGAGGATATGATAATCGCTTAAAACCCCATTTCCTTAGACGTGCATCTCTTTATAAAGAGTCGAAGTAAGTGGCGCTATGTATTCGATTAAATTATTGAAAACAACCAACACGTTTAAAAAATCAACATAAATTTATTTTATATTACACTAAATACATTAACAAAATAAAAGAAGGACAAATGGTGAAGAATTGTATGTACCGGGTGATCGTTCCAAACATCCCTTGACCGATGGTTGGGTTGGTCGTACAAGTCGGTTGGATCCAACGGTCCTTGCTCGAGATAATACCGTTGGTTGTATATATCCACGTCATCCCCAACCTACGAGAAAATAACAACGAGGTTAGTACATAGATTAATTAAAAAGCTTATAACAACAACAAAAATTAAAGCATAATAATGAGTACGTACCGCTTGAAATTCATCAACATAAACTCCCTCTCCTTGCCACCAATCGGCCATTTTTTTGGGAAATTCGGACAGAAGTTCGGCTCGGCGGGTTTTGAGGAAAAAACCAAATTTCGGACAGAGATTCGGCTCGGCGGGTTTTGAGGAAAAACCTAAGAAATATTTTCTGATAGCAGATCGGACATAGCCGCAACCAACAGACTTCTATTTCCCAGGCTTTTGGGAGGGGAGGGTTTAGAGAATGAGAGGGGAAGGGGGGTATTTATACCCAACAGACCGCACCCTCCAGGGGCGGTCTGGTAATTTTGCAGCAATTGAAAACGCACCCTTCCGATGCGGTCTCCGCTTCCCGAGGCGCTGACCGCTTTGAAAAGCGACGCTCCGTTATTCAAGGCCGAAAACCGCTCCTCCCCGCTGCGTTCTTTGATCCACGGCGCGGATTGCTGACGTGGCATTGCTCCTGCCCGCTAGATCGCACCACAATCCTGCGGACTGTAAGGCCGCTGGCCACCAAACGTTGAACGCACCTTGGAGGTGCGTTTCCCATTCTGACGTGGCATATATGTAGGAAACGCACCCTTAGGGTGCGGTTTATATTTAAAACGCACCTCTAAGGTGCGTTCCATAAAAAAAGGTGCTAGTAGTGTAAATTTTTTCGGATGTGTGCTAGTTTTGTAATTTTTTTTAAAGGTGCTATTATTGGAAAAAACCTGATAATGGTAGGATTGGGGCAGAGAGAGGAAGAAGGAGAAGGATGATGGTGATGGTGCAAATGGATGAAGGAGAAGGCCTCACCAGTCACCACTGCAGCCTGAGAAAATCGGATTTGGATCCGAAAGATTGGAAATGGGCGGCGGCTATGGTGCAAATTGCAAAATGTTGAGGTAGGGTTTATATATATATATATATGGTGGCGTATTCGGCGCACCCACTTTTTTGGGTGCACTCAGTGCACCCGCTTCATAATCATCATTCTGAGCATGCGATTCATGTCAAAATGATATCAATTGTTGCTTATGATATTATGAACAATAAGCACATGAATTTGAAAAAAAATCATTTAAGATTTACTTTAATTTGAAGGATTTAGGATTTAGGGCTTAGGGTTAGGGTTTAGGTTTACAGTTTGGGATTTTGCATTGGGATTCAAAATTGAAGGTTAATGGGTTAGGGCAATAGATTGATTTGTTATGATTCTATGCCATATCATCATGTTAGATTGAGAGTACTGATTAAAGTTCAAAATTTGATGTATTATGGACACTTTTAGAGATGGGTGCACTGAGTGCACCCAAAAAAGTGAGTGCACCGAAGTAGCCACCTATATATAAATATATATATATATATATATATATATTACACAATTACAAAATGGTAAATTTCATTATAGTCATTAAATTGTTAAATTAGTATTTCATGTGTCTTTTACTTATAATATTGTTGTTTCTAAAGCACTGGTTCTCTAACGGGTTTTTAACGGTCTAATACTGGTTGGATCAATAAAGTGCGAGCCGTTCACATTACCGGTTCATGCTCCGGTTCGGTTCTGACAACATTGCAAATAATTATGTCATGAATGAAATCAATAATTTAATTATTTTTTATCAATTAATAAATAAGTAATGAGTTATGGTATAGGTGTCGAAACATTCTTACAGTACTTGTAAGTGTTCGATTCGTTCAAATATGTGTGCAGTATTTTTTTTCTCCTTCCCAAAAGTTACCCCTCTCCTGGGACAAGGACAAATGGCCGTGCCTCCGCCCATGGGAGTAGGGTAGGCTATCGTTCACTTAATCCTTTATCTTATGCCTTTTACTTATGTACAATTTTAAGAGAATGACAGAGATTGACATATCAATATATTATATGAATGCATTGGTTTAGGCTAAATTATAAGAGAATGACAGAGAATGACATATTATGAATGCATTGGTTTAGGCTATATTATACGTTTGGTCACTCAAATTACATAAATCTTTTAAATTTTTCACTCTAATTATTTTTCTTTTTTATTCGCTACTAACTTTACGAATCATTTTATCATTCATCACCTACTGTTAGTCTCCGTCAGACAACGTTAACTCCGTCGATTTTCTTATAACGTGGCAGGAGAGTCGCCCAGATAGGGAGTGGAAATAGCTATGTGCTATGTTTTCTAGAAATTAATCTGGGATAAGCCATCTTCTTCCTCTAGCCGGCGGTGTATCAAGCGGGCTCTAAGGAGGAAAGAGGAGAGGAAGAAGACAAGCTAATTAACAGGACCCTGACGAAGAGCTTGCCTCACAACGCTGGTTTTGGCCTTGGCAGTCTCGGTGTTATTGTTGGTGGAGTCTTGTAGCTTTTCATTTGCCGGCGTCGGACTCGGAGCCATGGGGGATGGGGCCAAGAGCAACGTGTGATTTGGAGTGTGGTTCATGCCTGCGATAGAGGATGAGGTAATCAGTTCTTGGGAGAGGTAATAAGTTCTTGGGGAAAATGAGGGACCAGTTTTTAACATATATTTTTTAAAAATTGATATGTCATTAAATAATGATCCAGTCAGCAGTTTCGTTTGTCACGTCATAAGAAACTAACGGAGTTTGACGGGGACTGACGGTCGGTTACTAACAGTGAAATGATTCGTAAAGTTAGTGGCGAATAAAAAAGAAAGTAATTCGGGTGGCAAACGTGAAAGATTTATGTAATACGAGTGACCAAACGTGTAGTTTAGCACATTGATTTATATCCAGTCTTTAGCCTATTTCGGCAAATATTTTTTCTAAAAAGCTAGACATGTGTTGAAGCCGAAGACAAGTTTCAGTTTGCTTATGTTTATGCAACATGGATTTTGTCAAGGAATCAGAGTAGTTTGCTGAATTGATTTGAATTCTCAATATTGTTGTGTGGGATGATTTGTTTAGTATTTTATTTTCTACTTTGGAATATGGAATTTGATGCTTCGATTTTTCTATTGAATATGTGTAAGTGTTATGGTGTAAGGGTGATAAACGATTCGGTTTCGGTTTAAATGAACTGCACAGTCGGTTAGCCAAGACCGATTAGAAGCTGAAACTGCCACCCGATATCAAAACCGGTCCCTTTATCGTTAACTGTCAACAAAATCGTTGGTATCGGTTTGGTTGATCGGTTACCAAGTACCCGAAATTACTATTAAAAAAAAAGAAATCAAACCATTTATTTCCCCATACCCCTCCCATTCCCGATTTCTCTCCTCTCTTTGTTACCCTCTCAAGTCTCATCTTTTCTCTAGAAAAAAACAAAAAGAAGCAATATCCCCCCTCCTCGATGCGACCTCTTTCGACAAGGAAGGGGATAGTGGCAGCTTGGAAGGAACGGAGAGGAAGGTGATTGAGTCCGACCGGAGTTCTCGATCGGAGGCAGAGGAGAAGAGAAAGAGTTGTCAAAGGCAGAGGCGTCGGGTGGATCTGGATCTAAATCCGTCGTCGAAACATGCAAGGAGATGCGGCGCGGATCAAGGTAGACGAGGGAGACAATATGGCGGTGGAGAGGATGTGAGCGACAACGGTCCTGTGGTAGTGGGCAAAGGGTTTAGGATGGAGAGATCTAGACTCTAGTGGTGGCAAGCGAAGAAGAGAACTGAAACAGTAAGGGGAGAGAATGGCGATTGGCGGTGATGAGGGAGGTCCGCGACTCCCAATTCAGGGAGAGGCCCGACAACAACAGCGTCGACTCCCGATTAATGAAGGGGAGTGGCGATTGAGGCCCTCAAAATCCTTGCCGGCCATCGACGGTTGTGGCTAAAAATAATTTTGTTCAGAAAGGAAGGAGGGGAGAGAACAATGAGGTCGAGAAAGACGGGCATTGAGTTGGGGGTGGGGAGATTTGTTGGTGGAATGTGAATAAGAGAGATGTCGCCGGTTAGTTCCGGTGCACCGACTCACCGTCGGTTAGCAGCCGACAACCGAAAGTTAGTGAAAAGTGCTAATTGGCACAACCAACTCCGATACCGAGGACTTACTTGTCTATTTTTGGTTAGCCGTCTAACTGATTTTTCGGTTGGTTTCTCGACTAACCAACTAACCGCCCACCGAATTATCACCCCTGTGTATGATTAGGGGTTTTTTATGCTTATATAAACTGAAAAATATGGGCGGGCTGGGGCAAACCCAGCTCGTACAGGGCAGGTCTTGGGCCACAGAATGAATGCCCATAGTAGGTCTTGGGGTGGGGCGAGTCCAACTGCAAAAGGACAGCTTGGCTGGGATATTGCGCAACTCGCCCTGTTTTGGACTAATTGTCATTCCTAGATAGGAGATAAATGTAACACTAATAGTGGTGAGGTGCATTTGGTTATTATTTGGCATTAGTTTTAATGGTGTTGGTATTTTACATTTATATATTTTTGTTATTTATTATTCATTTATTCGAGTTTCATCCGATAGGAACGAATGGTAACTTGTACGTTACTAATTATGCATAAATTTTCCTCAATTAAATTTAACATACTATATTTTTCATTTGTAGTCGGAATTCAATTTTTTTCACAGAAATATAAGATCAATTGTCCTTTTCAAAATTATATTCACTTACTAGGTGTGCCCGCTCGCACTCTGTTGCGGGAAATGATGTGTTTTTCCAATTATGTTATGAAACACTATCCAGAAGAACATAAACAAAATAGGGAAACTCTTACAACATAATTGTAAATTTGTAATTAGATTTAGTTTATGGTTTCCTTAGTCTGTTATCTATAGGAATCACAATGGCGCAGGTCATGGCGGGTATCTCGATATTAATATCCGTCTCATAACATGCAAGATATTTTGTCATGGGGCACGGTTCAGAGCATGTCGATATAAATGGGTATGTACTTTGAAGGCAAAACATAAGAAACAATTATTTTATTCATTCAAAAATTGAGAAGCAAACTATGACATGGGAATTGTAGCTAGATTATTAACGAGATTGGAATTTCTCGCATATGAACAACTTTATTATAGCTAAAATATGTTGTAAAGAAAATAAAAGTTTAAATAATTTAACTAAATTTACATATAATTTAGACAATACGTGTTAAGAATGAGACGAGTCAAATCGAGCAAACTACCCGGGCGTACGCTAACCTAGCGTACCATTGAGTTTTGCTATATAGATCATGAATTAATCGGAGTTTGGGGCATGATACTATACCCTAACCTCTAATGGGTGAACCCCAGACCCTAATTTTCTAATCCCAACATGAGGTTCGTTTTATCTTAAAATGAAAACCAATGAAAATTTCGACGAATCAGAATCGTTGATTTTCATTTTTAAGATTAAACGAATCTCGTGATTTGTGTTAGTGAATTGGGGACTGAGATTCTGGAATTCACCCATTAGGGGTTAGGGTATAGTATCATGTCCCAAACTCCGATTAATTCTTTGTCTAAATAGCAAAACTCAATGGGGCGTACGGTAGGCTAGCGTATGCCCGGACATACGCTAGCCTTTGCCATATACATATGGTGCCTTCTACGGTACCCCGGGTGAAATCCAGGGTACCGCATACCTTGAGTATGAAAACGCTATTTAGACCTCAAATTAACAGAATTTTTGGGCATGATACTATACCCTAACCCTTAATGAGTGAACCCTAGGTCCTAATTATCTAAATCATAAACTATTAATCCTAAGATGGTGCGTTGATTTTTTGCCTATATTTGGACGAATCATAACCGTCGATTATTGTTTCTAATTAAATTGATCTTGGGTATAAAATTTAGAGAATTAAGACATAGATTTTGATCTTTAAGGGTTAGAGTATAGTATCATCTCCGAAAGAGTAGTCAATTCAAGTTCTGGATAGCGTTTTCTTACACAAGGTATGCGGTACCCCGGATTTCACCCTGGGTACCGTAGAACTCCCCATATATATATATATATATATATATATATGTATATATATGTGGGAATTTGAATCATGACCACTTTTAAGAGAGGGAAGGGCTACAACCAATCACGCTGCATATATTTGTTGTATTTTTAAAAGAAAAACATACACAAACCTAACATCTCAAAAATCAGAAGACCTTTTCAGTGGTTAGCTAGCAACTAAATCTCTCATAAGTACTTATTTGGTGATTTGATACTTCGAATTTCATATTTTTTATTATTTTAATTGTATTTTCATACTTAATTTATATTTTAATGTATATTATAAACATAGGATAACTTTAAAATTGCAACCCATATATCACTTGGTTGAATATTGCATATAAAATTAGAGTATTAAATAGGTCGAAGCAATGCCAAAATTTCAAATTAGTATTAATTTTTAGAATTAACTATGAAGAAATCATATCCTTATGCAGACTATATGAGACTGGTTTTTTTAACGTTTTACCCGGGTTAACTGCTAATCTTTCAACATGTTCCTAATCTGGCAGGTTAATGAATTTCTAAGGCAATAACATATGCCTACGTCTAAACACAATACAATATATAAGAGTGGAATGGGAAAAGTATTTTCCCGTTTCAAATTCCTACAACGAAAGCAAAAGTATGAATGGTATATTTGCCTTCATAATTATTAAACTTATTTATTTGTAGAAAATAAACAAGTATTGGAAAGATATCATCTCACCATTATCTATGACTGTTTATGTCTCTAGCATGACTGCTTGATTAAATTTGGAGGGAAGTGGAATAAATGGCCGATACTACTGGAAGGATTCCTCTTTGGATAATAGGCACTGTAGCGGGTATTCTTGTGATCGGTTTAATAGGAATTTTCTTTTATGGTTCATATTCCGGATTGGGTTCATCCCTTTAGTAATCGGATGAACGTAGAGATGAAAGTATCTTCCAAAAATGACAAGAATCATAAGGCTGATTGTCAACCCAAGTTTTACATGGTTGGGCGAATCAGTTTTGCCCAAACCCGAGTATTTGTTAGGATGTTGAAGGCCCAGTTGGTTATCAACCCAAACTTGGTCAAACTAAGAAAACCAGTTGAATTAGTAAATCGAGTTGATTCAACTAACTCATCTAAGCACCGAGTCACTTCAAACCGACATCATTTTCAACAAATCTAATCACTAGCTTTGTTGACATGTCGTGCTTTTCCTTATCAAAGGCTTATGCAGCAACATACATCAACCACCTGTGTTCGGTTATCCCATAATATCTTTTCCTCCTTTAGTATTGGCTTGCAACAATCATCTCAAAAGCCAACACAGTTCCTCAATAGTCAATTCCATTTTCCTTCCAGCAGCAATGTCACATTGCCAATCAACCACATTTCAAACAAAGAATAAGCCACAAGATTAGACAAACATATATTTGGATTTAAACTTGGTGTGATTAACAAAGACCAACTGTCCTCATTTGTATATATACTTGAAATCGAATTGGAGAAGAAGAGTAAGAACATTGAGAATGGAATATGATATGCAATGAAAAAGAAGAAAAGAAAAAAAAGTAGAAAATGAAATGGAAAAAGATAAAAAGAAAGAGGGAAGAGATTTAGAATTAAAACGTCCTTTTAAAGCATCAGTTCCAAGTGAGAAAAAAGTATAAAAATGATACTCAATTCCAACGAATAAGTTATATTAAAATCGTCATTGTATCTAAATTTATCATAGAAATTTTATAAATATCTAAGCATAATACATGTGAAAGGAATAAAATTTTCAACTTGGGTAAAGCTAGGCTTAACCAGGTTAATCCAATTAATCCATTAATCCTTAACCCACTTGCTTAAACGACTCATTGGTGGAAGCGAGTGACAACCTTTGTCATAACAAATTGGGTAATGTCTATTTTTTATCCAAACCTTTTCAGATTCTTTTATATTATCCAAACCTATCGAAATACTAAGAATTAGTCAAATGTTAACTTCCAGTTAGCAATTTTGTTAGTAATATTGACTTGGAAACATGATACTTACTTGGAAGAGACGCATGAAGGTCAACATTTCAAAATTTTAATATTTTAACTAAGAAAAGAGTTACAAAATTATTAACAATAACATAAAAATGGTTAATATTTTGATGCATTATGAAATATTTGAATAATTAAGGGTTATAGGTATAATATGCCCCTCTACTATGACGTTTTATCAAACACGCCCCTCTACTATTTTTTACATCAAACATGCCCCTGTACTTTGGAAAACTTATCAAACATGCCCTTTTGTTAAAATTTCCATCCAAAAACCGTTAACCAAGACCGAACTTTGGTTGGGGCGACCCAAATATCTAAAATATCCCTAATAATTTCACTTTGGAGTTTTTTTTGTTCTTTTGTATAGCCAAATAATTCTAATAATTTCACTTTGACGAGACATAGAGAAATAAAACAAGGGTCAAAACTGACATTTCCCCTCCCATTTATCGATGTCAGGTCGTCTGAATCTCGGTTCAACCATGATTGACGATTTTTTTCAATGGAAATTTCAACTGAAAGGCATGTTTGATAATTTTTCCAAATTACAGGGGCATGTTTGATGTAAAAAATAGTATAGGGGCATGTTTGATAAAACGTCATAGTAGAGGGGCATATTATACCTATAACCCAATAATTAATAGTATTTCGATAGGTTTGGATGATATAAAAGAATCTGAAAAAGATTTGGATAAAAAATAGACATTACCCTAACAAATTAGATAGAACAAATTTGTTATAATTTTTTTTAATGAGATATATGTATAATATACTCCTCTATTATACATATATCAATGCCGACAATTGGACGAGACAAAGTAAGTCTGAAGCAATACCAATGTCGTACCCTATGCTAATAGAGCTCGATGCGCCACAAACAGATTGGGTCAGATTGTCGCTCGGACCCGGTCGAAAATTGTCATCACTTATTAATTTAAGGATATTCTTTAAAAAATAAAACAAACTTCTTACGGACCGGACTAGGGATGGCAACAAACTCGCTACACTATTCACCGGGTTGGGTTTGGGTTTTGGTAAACCCGTCCCATGGGTACCCGCCCACACACATAGAATTACTTTCCCGGTATATTTAATATTCTAAATAATATATCTTCCTTAAACAAGTAATATTCTTTATGTTTGTGGAGACATGTATAATTTGTTCTTTGTAATTGTTTAGAATGAAGTTGATATTATGAAGTGGAGAGTGAAGAAACTTAGTTGACGAGGAAGAAGCTTTCAATTAATTTTATTGTTTATAGATGTTTATCTTTAATTTTTGAACAATTTGTATTGATCATTTGCGGTTTGCTTGTATGCTCTAGATTGGTGTTTTTTGTATGAGAAAATTGATGTTAAACTTTTATTTTGAAAGAAAGTTGTTATGGTAAGTTTTTTACCACAAAAACCCACGGATACCCATGAACCCGCGGGTTGGGTTAGGTTTGAGGTTTTCAAACCCACCAAATTTTACCCCGAATTTTTTTGGCGGATAACCCATGGCTTTAGATTTGGGTTTGACAAAACCCGGCCAACCCGACTCATTGCCATCCCTAAACCGGACCCGAGCCGGAATCAGGAAAAATAATCACCTTCCACCACAGCCCGCCGAAAATCACACAAAACTTCCACTTCTCCAGCCGGTGGGCGCACGGACAACGCCGCCGTGCCACTACGCCGCTGCCTGCGCTATCCAAGCTCTTCCGGCACATATCTTTCCTTCACCGGTTCTTCTCTCCGCACCAAGGTATGTTGTTCAGGAGTGCCTTTGGTGGTCGCTCCCTCAATCGCGATTGACAAGAACCTGGAGATCTCCCTTCTATTGCGGATGGAGTAAACTTGGTTGCCATGCTTCGATTTTTATTTCTCTTCTGGATTCAAACTCGGATTCATTTGGTTTAGCCATCGCGCTCCGACGCGCTGATGTTCTTGTTCGCACATGCAGAAGAATCTGGACCTAGGGAGGCTGTGACTCTAGCCCTCGCAGTTGACTCAACGCTTCCAAATGGTACGCTTTAGCCCTTCTGCGTCTGTGGATGTGAACGGGAAATGCATTTCCGCCTCTTTGTTTGTTTATATGTTTTTTTTTGCTCACACATTATGCTTTCCCAAGCAGGGCAAACCAAGCAATTACTCCAACGCCGGGAGTTCTTGGGATCCAGAGATGGACGAACTGGATGAGCTAAAGCCTGAGGTTCTGGATTTCATCTTCCCTTCTGATGCCGTCTACTCTCAAATCGGGGTGCGTCTTTACTTTCTTGTCAACGCTTGTTGATTTCACTTGGTAATTCAGTATGCTGAATGTGCATGGTTCAATCTGCTGGCTATTCCTGCGCTCTGTGTATCTTGAATTTGATTGTTCATAGTTTTTTTTTTTTTTTACTTCGACTACCGCAGGACAACAGCGCAAGCTCTTCAGGAAGCCATGTTAGATCCTTTCTCACTGGGATGGGATTCTCACCTTTTCTTGTTGATAAGGTGATTCAGGAAAATGGTACGTGTGCTGACATTTCCCATTATTAACTCTGATATAAAATTTGAGTACTCTATGAATATTTTGTGTGTGATCTTTAATCTGTCAGGAGATTAACAAATCCTTTTCAATTTTAGGTGAGGACAACGTTGATTTGCTGTTGGAGATTCTTGTAGAAAATTCTGTAAGCATCAAAGATTGCACTGTGATATATCTTATTCATGTGTTCTCGTCGCATCTTCCATACTAAAAGAATAAACAAGGATGGCAACCAAACCTTGTCAGTCTGTTTACTAATGTGTTAGTCTTCCGGTGCATGTAATGTCTATTATTTTGCTTGATAAAATATCCAGGTGGCGGTGACACACTTGTGCTTTTTATTCTGAATAAGCCAAAACTAATTGAAGTTTGAATTGCTCTGCAATAATTAGGATGCTCAGAAGGCTAGAAATCAGTCATCGGATTCGTTAGATAGCTTGCTCGGTGACAAGGAGGAAGAGGGACCTTCTGCATTACCGCCAATGCTGCAGCCTAAAGAGGTAAGTGATCAGCTCATACCTTACTTTAGCTGGGTTTTTTTGTCTACCTTGAACACAAGTGGTATGTATTTTCTCAACTTTAGCATGTGTTGCTTATGCGACTCCTTTTTCTTTCGTAGGAGCCTGACATATTTAATGAAGTTGTGGATGAAAGGCGACAAACCTTATTGAAGATGAACTTTTCTGCGACTGAAGTCGACTTTGCCATTGATAAGCTCGGTACGTTGAAGTTCCTAAACATATCGCTACGAGGAGATGACACTTGTCCTTGTGCAGGAATTTTAATCCTTTGATTCTCCCTAGCAGGATTTTATTTCCATTGGCTATTAATTCATCAAAATGCTCTTGGAAACTTCCTGTGAAGAAATAGGATTGCATATATCTATATTGGATGTAAGAAATGTGACCCTGGGATGAATCGTGATTTCTTTGTGGTGTTTGAGTATAATAACTATTTATGTATCATCCCACTTACTTTGCTAGACTATTTTTTTTTCTCATGAAACCTTCTGATATTACACGGCAGGTGACAATGCTTCAATTGATGAATTAGTTGATTTCATAAGTGCTGTCCAAGTGGCTGAGCATGCAGATGAAGGAACTAATGGCATGCCTCAAAACCTGTTGCCAGAAAAAAAGGTCTGGTTTCTAGCCCATTTGGCTGTGAGCAATAGTAGTAATGCTACAGATTCTTTACTGGGATCTCTAATATTTATTCGAACTTTTAGTTTCCAGGTTGATAATGATGAAAACTTGTATGGGACAATGGAAAAAACACTTCAATTGCTTGGCATGGGTTTCACTGAAAATGATGTTTCCCTTGCTATTGAGAGGATTGGTAAGTCGTTCATTGCTGCAACTGTCTTTAACTAGTGCCAGGCCATGTATAGGTGGTTTTGCTTTCATTTTACAGTTCTTTCACCTTACCCCTACTCGTTTTGTGGTGAATAGTGAGGGTCTATATGCAACTTGCAAAGGTCTGTTGGACCATGTGGAAATAGTCAACTGAGATATTTTGGTGTTTCCTATTTGTGGAAGTGAGCATGTTATTGTGTCTAGAGCTTTTCAACTTGAAGCCAATATCATACTTTCGTTATCGCCGAGATGCTCTGGTGCTGTTAACTCTAAAATGATTAAT